TTGTCCTATGAAATGACTTACAACATTTCAAATTATAATTTAGAGATAATCTAATTCCTTACCCTTTAGATGCAGATGAAGTTTTCAAAAAATGATTGAAATAGATACTAAAGTGAAAGAATGTTTTACTCTATACTTTGAGGAAATCTCCCAAGATATTAAAAAAATAACAAGAAACAGAATTCTCTGCTTATCTATATCAATTAAAAATTGCGAAATATAACACACTCCCCAGCTCCACCATTCCAAAGCACGATCTGATTTTTATCCATTATAAGGTAAATTTAAACCTCTTGACTTCTCTGTTTCTCAAAAACATTTTCTGTTCTTGTCACACCATATTTTAAAGTAATAATACCTACATCCCACAACATGGAGAAATCTATGCTCCATTTTCACTATCAGGTTCTTTTCCTACTTTTTGATACGCAAAATTGCCTAAAGATCATCTGCTAAAATTTTCATCTTAGGTAGGTTTGAGAGGTTTTACACACATCTTATTTAACAAAAAGGTCACAAGGCTGCTTTCCCTAATATCTGTGTTACAGAAAATCACCTGTTTTTCACATATTTGACAACTGATTTTATGAACATATTATAAGAAGAAAATTTTAAATGCCTCAGGATGCCTCGTCATGAACAAGTAGCATTTAACCTCACAAATAAGGTTTCCTTGGAATAATAGGATCCTGGTCTGGCTTACCCCATCCTAACACAGGAATTAAGATTCATTTAGGTTATAAATTCAGACATTTCTAAAGTAAGCTATATAGTAATTTTAAAATCAGTATATGTCAATGTGTCTTAAAATATGGTAACGTTTAAATACTTCAGTGTTCTTTAAAATCAGGTAAAATGAAGCTTTAGTTAGTAATTATAAATTGAAGGGCCAGCAGAAGTATTTCACTGTCATTAGACCTTTGGGGGGGAACATTGTAATAGATATTTTTTAAATATGAAAATATTCATAGACTCATATATGAATTCATTTATTGTTTCAAGCAATATTTGTTGAGTTCCTGCTATCACAGGCATGTGAATGGCAAGAGATTCAACAAAGACAAAGTAGAAATTTCTGTATCTTTCAATCTTTACACAATGAGAAAAATAGACAATAGAAAGTATCCACAAAGAAAGTCTGTGATATGGTAGGCAGTAACAGGTGTTCAGGAAATGGTAAAATCATCGGGAATGAGGCTATGAGAAATGGATTGTGAGTGTCAGTGCATGTGGGGAGGACCAGCGAGAGGAGCCTAACAGGAGATTTGATTGGCCTTTGTCCCGGGTTTCTGCCAAGTAACCAGTAAACTTTCGGAATCTCACATTATACCTGAAAGTTTATGCTAACAATGTGCCTTATGGTGGGCACCTGATAATTTAGGCCAATAATAAGATGACTCAGGATGAGGCAGGCTACACTGATAATCAGAGAGTGACCGCTGGCCTTCCAGAAAGACCAACTACGTGACTGGACATTAGGAACCTTTAGCAGCCTGATCTCCAGGGTAGGGAGGGGTCTGAGATTTATTTCAACTGCATATGTAATGAATCAATTTATCATGACTGTGTAAGAAAACCCCAACAAAATTTCCAGACACAAAGCTCAGGAGAGCTTCTTGGTTTGGCTAGACCCCTTGTGTTCATGGCCACAGTTGACCCAGTGAGGGTGATGGGTCTGTGAGGAGAGAGAGGCTGAACATTCAGAAGCCTCACAGTTTAAGATCCCAATCTATGAGTCCCTTTCCTTGGCTGGTTCTGATTTGTATCCTTTTGCTGTTATTTAACCATTTTTTCTGACTTCTATCAGGAATTCTAGTGAATTCTCAAACCTGTGGTAGCCCCTGGGCTGTGAGTTTGTAGGCAATGAGTCTGGCTAGTCTGAATTGAAAGTAGCCATGAGGACCCCAAACTTGTCAGGAATCTGAACCGACTTGGCAGCCAGGGGGATGTTGCACTGAAATGACTTGGGCTAACTGTGGGGAGGGGAGCTTTGCGATACTTAGTAAGAAAGGAACTTTAAAGTGTAGACTTGA